TGCCCCTCCCCCCGGGCCTCCCCAGGGCCACTCAGGGAATGCCCCGACTTGATTTGGTGCAGGAAGGCCTGCTGTGACTTCGCACTCTGACCAGGGTTCCACTACCCTTTCTTCAAGGAGCAACGAATGAGCTTTATGACTGCCATGTAGTTGTGGCTCTGAAAGATCTGACTGAAACACAATTTAAAATACCAACATAACAGTCACTCAGATTTTAAATTTTGAAGGGAAAAAAGGGCTGAAAATTAAAGCACAGTATTTAGATGATAATGCAAAGGCTTATATTTAACTGCAGAAATACAACATGATTTAAGCCTTTGAAATAGTTTCTCTTTTTCTTCTAATTACTTTTCAAATCATAGCTATTACTTTAAAACTGAACTGTCCAAAATCCAAAGGGCTAAATTCTTACTTAAGACAAACCACCCGGGCCCACAGGCCCTCGGACCCCACTCCAGCTGGGGCTCGGCGAGCCCTCGCCCTCTTTGACATCTGGCTTCTCGATCGCCATTGGTGGGTCCCCAGCCCGTGGCTCCTGGTCACCACAGAACTGCGTCCCCTGGTCCGGAGGGAACCAGAGACGTCCTGGCTGCCAACTGCAGGAGGGGAAGTGAGTGTAAATACACTGCACTGAAGAACGGTCGCCGGACGGTGTGTGTGTCTGTGGGGTACACGAGACACAGACAAAAGGGCCATGAACCCAGAGGACACACCACCCCCCGGCGTGGCTAAGTGGAGCCGGGTGTTTCTGAGCAGACGCGGCTCAAACTCCAACAAAACATCCCACCACCTCAACACCAACACGTTGGGCGGCTACTGGCAAGCTCCCTAAGGCTAAGACTCCACGCAATCTCTGTGCCCCATTCAAGGGTGGCTAAGATTAAAAAATAATGTTAATTAAAATCCTCAATCTCGTATTTTACTAAAAGCAAAAACATTTAAAAACTAACTTCAGTTATCCTCGTTTTCAGTATGACAAAGTATAACAATGTGGGTCTCCGGACTGTGGTTGTGATATTCAGGATAAAAAGAGAACTTTTCAAACAGACTCATCGTCTCTAACGTTCAGAAGTCTAAGAGTTTTCCTCCTCGAGATGTCCTTCTGGGGACAGCAGGGGACGCTGGGCGCCGCTCACGGCGGCACCGTGCAGGTGTCCGCACTTCCTGCCACCGTCACCCCACGAGAGCGGCCCGCGCAAGCCCCACGCCGGCCACGGCAGCATGAAGCGGACGGGCGTCCGAGCCCCTCTGCGCGCCGCCGGGGGTGGGCTCCAGACACGCAGCACCCACGCTGCGCTTTGTGTCTGAGTGGGATGCGCAGAACTTCCTCTCCGGTGAAACCACGCTGAGCTAACGAAGGGAAGTCCTCGCGTGAGACACAGGGTCCCCCTAAGACACAGGCTAATATTTGGTTCTAACAGAATTACCTTTAGATATGAGGGGGAACTAGATCTGAGATTTTTAGAGAGAAAAGCTGTGGAGACAGTGCCGAGTAGCAAAGAGCAGAAGGGCCAGGAGCCACCTGGGCAGGTACCGGCCTCCGTCTCCTCCCTAAAATCGAGGGTAGAGGCTGGACGACATCTAAAATCCTTTCAGCTCTAATTCTACTATTCTACCACTGAACCTCTATATCCTCTTGGAATCTATTTTTATGAAAATATCATCTTACAGATCTGTGCCAAACATTGATATAAACTACGTAAACCACCAAAGACTCGACTGAAGTTAAGATACAGGATGTGCTGGCAGTGGTGGACTTCAAGGATCGAAATCCACCCCACGCCACAGATCTAGGGCTCACCGGGACCCTTGGAGCTCACTTCTGGGGAAAATCTGGACACCCGAAACAGCCAGATCTGCAGACCAGGGGTACAGGGCTATATGCCAACTGTCAGACACTAGCAGGTACCACCTCAAATGAATACACGGATGTGACACACGCTGAATGACCAAGAGAAATTCACGGTGTGTTTTAAGCACAAGCTAATGAAGTCAGTATTCGAACCATGCTGCAGCCAGTGCTCCGGCCGGGACACGGCGGTGCTGCTCCAGGAGGTCGCAGGCCAAGTCTTCGCGCTCTGGCTGGCTCTGCTCTGCTCTGCTCGGACCTGCCTCAGCACCTCCCCACACGATGCTCTCTATCAACGGCCATCAGGCCGGCTGAAGATGAACGTCACTTGCCATCCCCGAACCAGGCTTTTATAAGATCAACAACTATTTCCAATGCTCTGCTTCTCGTTACTTCAAAAACATGAACTGGAAATGCTTTAAAACGGAACACAGCAATGCATTTTCTGAGTAAAGAGTCTATCAGTGTATTGGGGGGGGGCGCTGAACAGATATAAATTGTTGATTTCAGGTTAATTCCAAATACTGGATATTGTTATTCAAGTTAGTCTAGTACCTGAACAATATGATTTGTCACATTGTATTGCGAATCCTCTTATACATCAAAATGAGGGATTCCTTTACCGAAAAGGTGAAAAAGAAAAAAGCAACAATTCACCTATTCAATCCTAACTTGTTCAATGTGGCATCCGTGGGCCACTCTTCAGAAAGGAAATCAGCAAAACGTCTTCCAAACAGTTACACCCGGGTGTTTCTCGCTCTACGACTTTTTTTTTTTTTTTTTTATCCTCACCCGAGGACACTTTTCCATTTTTTTTTGTTCAGATAGAGCGGGAGGGAGAGAGAGGAAGAGAGAGAGAGAGAGAGAGAGAAACATTGACGTGAAGGGACACATCGAGTGGCTGCCACCCGCAAGACCAACCAGGGCCGGGGACAAACTGCAACCGAGGTACGTGCCCTTAGCGGGAACCGAACCCGGGTCTCTCTGGACCGCAGGCTGACGCTCTAACCGCTGAGCCAAACCGGCCAGGGCTCGCTCTACGACTTTTAAATCCAACCAGATGAGGAAGCTCGAGGCACCCTGCCCACACCCCCATTTTTACAGGGAGCTCTTTTTTTAATTGCCACACCCCCTCTCACTCACGACCTTCATCGTCAAGTTGCCTTTCTCGGCTCCTTCTCAGGCTCCAGCCCCTTTGGGACTCCGACTCGAGAAAGAAGTCATCAAACACTTCTTCCCAAAGACAGACTGACACCGAGCGAGTTGCTCAGACTGCCAGCCGGGCATTTACCTGACAGCTGTCAGTGGGCAAACAACAAGACAAAGGCAACAACACGAGTTTCCTGCAGCGAGCTGTTAAGTAAAGCAGAAGCGTGTGGAAAACCTAAGTCCTCAACCACAGCTCTAACACGCACCAGACGTGTGCTCTCACTTTCAAGCTTCTGCTGGGGGCGGGGGGTGGGAGCACAACAGGTTATGTGTATTGCAAAGTGCAAAGGAAGGAAACTTTAAAATAGAAATAAAGTATTTTCTTTCTTTTTTTAAAGAAAGAATGCTGCAGACATGAAAGACAAAATCCAGAGGTACGGGGTGGGGCTGCGCAGATGAGCCCCGACCGAGCATGGTCAGATCTACGCAGAGACCAAACCTCTTCCTTTCCTGGTTTAACCGAGGGGCGGGGGCGGTCCCTAAGGAGCCTCCGGAGGCTGCGGCGGCGCACATCTGTCTCCTGGGCCGGCTAGCCAACACTGATTTTCCGCCCAGTGGAAGGGAGTTGACTCTGATGCATGCCATCTAAATTCATTTCACACAGCTGCTTCGGGCAGCTTGGCACGGCCCAGGCCGCCTGGGAGGGTCTAGAGGACTCCTGGGGTGGGAAGGGCAGGCCCATGGATCAGCAGCTGACGACCAACGCTCCCCTCTGCCCACTGCCACCTTCCTGTGGACTCATGCAGTGACCCCGAAGGAGCCACAGGAAAGAACAGAGAGGACAACCTCTCAGAAGGCGTGTGGTCACCCCATCCCGTCTGTTCTTGCACTTTCAGCGTCATGTTCACAGGACTCTCTGTTGGTCCACAGTTAGGACCACGTTTACAGGATTCAGAACTCTCAACTGCAAAATCAGCATCTGCTCTCGCTGTGGAAGTAAGTGTATACTGAGTACACTAGTGCAAAGCACTCTGAATCACCATTCCTAACCAGTGAAAGCAGCCCCACAAGGTCAGTCCTGAAACAGAGCTGGCTGGCTGCTCCCTATTCTAACCACAGAAACTGCCTACTGCACATGCTTCAGCCTCTGTAGGATAACCCTCTCATTACTGTATGAAAATATAGTATCAATCATAATGTTATTGCTTTGTACACCACTCAATAATAACACACTCTCAGCACATTCACTAGCCTAGAAGAGTGACAGCCTGACATTAGTTTGTAGTAGGAAGAGAGACACTTTTTGTTGCTGTATGTAATTCCTGTGTTGTAATTGATAACAATACGGCAACACTGCATTTAGAAAGAACATTCTGTGCAGGATTATTTGGTTGTATTTTCCTAGAGACTTCAACGCTCTAAAACTCCTTGGGAGAAGGAGATCATGGACACCTTTGGCACAGACCTTTGTTCAGTGATTATATAACGAACCCCTCACAAGTCCTGTTGTAACCTGTCATGTCTCCTGCAGTGAGTCCCTGGCCAAATGTGGTCACTGCGCTTGGACTTTGGGGGTGTGTGTGGGAGCAGGTCATTGTGGCAGGAATGACAATAACACCGTCATGATGACACAGCACAGGTACCCAGACAACACGTGACAACATGGGGGCTGACCCAGAGCCGGTGGTCTCATTCCTCTGGTGGGTGAGACTCGGTTCCTCTCGGGCGTGAGGGAAGAAGCCGTGCCGATAGCCATGCAGACAGATCTGGGGACGGCATGCAGGCTGCTACCGAACTACCACAGTGCCGTTAATGAGAACAACACAGAACAAAACAAACAGAAAGCCCGAAACAAACAAAAAGACAGCCCCTCTGAGATGGATTTCCTTCTAGGTCTTTCACTTTCTTGTTTTGGGTGTTACTTTTGCAGCCAGATGGCACGTTCATTAACAGTTTAAACAATGCCCAGGTCCCCAGCGAGTTTGGATCTGTTGCTACCTACCCGTACTGGTCAGGCTGGTGCATCATGGGAGCCTGAGAGTTGCCATAGTTGGGGTGCTGGGAAGAAAACATGGGGCGTCCGCCAGCCCCAGACTGGCTGGGATAAGCAGGCGACCTAATGTATGGTGGCCTAAAGCAGAACAGAAGAACAACTTCTTTGGATTTGTTCTGTAGACAAGTGTGAACACCCCTGTCCACCGGCCAGTCCCACGTGCAGGTGTGCAGGGTGACAGAATGCGGCCTAACACTCTGTGCCATGCAGCTGCCTGGCGGTGGGACGGGGTGCAGTCCTTAAAAAGGGGGGCAAAGGAGAGAGCAGAGTAAGATTCTCAGGTCTAATCTCAGTTCACAGTTCTGAAGTACAGCTTTGATGTTGGTCAAACCAAAAAATATACAGTCCCCATTCAAACTCCTGGAGAGCTCAAACAGGAGCAGGGGAGGCCAGGCTGTGGCCAGGCCTCCTGACCACCAACAGAAAATGAAAATGCATGAATGTACAGTGACAGTGTGCTTCCTCTAAAGGGACAAACTGATGCAGAGAGGGAGCAGACGAGAGTTTTTAATCAACATCTCTATGGTTATCTTCTTCCCAGATCACTATCCAAGGCTCCACATCTAATCCAATCAAGTTCTTTCTACTTAAATAGAAAATAATCTGTGCTTTATGAGTTTCAACAACAGACAATTCATTTAAACCTAAATGGGAACTTCAGCTGGACCAGTCAGACCAGTCCTCACAGACAGGTTCAATGAAACACTCCCTAAAGCCCCTCAGGTTTGGGTCAGAGGTACACTGGCGTTTCAAGATTCTCGTTGTGATGTGGATGAGAGAGAGATGCAGAGATGGGGAGAAAGGGAGACGAGTGATTGCATTTTGATTCCTTCAGGGAAACAGAGAGAATGGAGGGGTCCCTAACATCCCCAAACAGCAGATTCAGAGGAAAAGTAACAAAGGGACACATTTAAACACACATAACACACACACACACACACACACACACACACACACACACACACTTTTATTTCCCTTTGGAAAATAACCAGAACTTCTATCTGTTCTTCAAGCTACCCTATTTTCTTACAAATCTTTCAATTTGCTTTGTTTTAAAATGCATTTTAATGTATGTTAAACATAAAAAATATTTACATGTGTTTCTTTGAAATCATTCACTTTGGCCTCATAATTTTTAAATTCAGCATGTTATTTACATACAGGTCAAGTATTTACTGAAAGTATAAAAGAATTAATTTGAAATCAGCATGGAAAACAACTGAGGACAGAGCCTCCTGGATCAGCTCTCTCCAGTGCTATGTGCTTCACTCACCTCACTTTGGTTTGGACGGACAGAACTACGTCCAGAAAAATGAAACGTAAGAATAGGAAGCATATGACTCTCGCACATACACACATAGACAAACACACAGTACATATATGTGCACGAAGTTTCTCTTTCATAAACATGTTGCAGTGGGGTGATTAAGGGGGGAGGTTCCTTTTCAATGTCTTAGATTTGGACTAGTTCACAGGCTTTAGATTTCCTGCTGCCTTAAAGGGAGCAACACAGACCCGTTAGGGCTTTGGGGGGCTGGTCCAGAGACCACTCAGCCACCTGGAGTAACACACCCCCGACTGACTTGCCCACCCGCAGATTCCTTCTTCAGTGTCTCAGAGAGCTGGTCTGTCATTTACTGTCCTGAGCTTTACAGCCAAGTAAAATGACAGCCTGCGGCTCTGCCCCGTGTGACCCGGGGCGCCGGGCCTGTGCGTGCTCAGCACGTGCTCACGTGCACACACCGCCCGCCCCGACGGCATACCTGCTTTGTGCTGAGTTTGCAGCGGCCTGCATCACTGCGGCAGCTGCCTCCTGTGCCTTACGGTTCACGGTCGGCATCGGTGGCCCCATTCCTGGCCCTCCCTGCTGAGACATGCCGGGAGAACTGGGGGTCACGCTGCTCATGTTTCCAGGGAACGGTCTGCTCTGCATCCCGGCTGACGGCATCCGTCCCAGGGGCAGAGCACCACATGGCTGGCCTGGCCCTGGTCCATGCATCTGGTTGTTGGCATTGATGCCCACGCCAGGCCCTGGGCCGCTGTAGCTTGCACCGGGCACCCCACTATACGTTGGGGGTCTGGAGTAGTTACCTAAACAAAAAGCAAGCAAACACAAATTTAGGCCTTTATGTACTATCCAGACTTGTGAAAACACTCACTGGAAATACTTTCTGTCCAACAATGCGACCAGCACAGACTACTGTCGTTCTGATAAGCTTCCGGGTTGGTGCTGCGAGGCTGCCAGTCTCCCACGGCGTTCCTGCACACTCGCGAGCAGAAGCCGCACCGGACAGCGCGCCTGGGAGCGGAGAGCCAGGCTCCACCCCCACGCCCCCATCCCTGCACTTCAACCCAACCATTGCCCCAGTCCCCTCTGCCTGCACTTGACCGCAGGGCTGCACCCGACAGTTACGGAGGGCTGGAGGGGTCAGAGACGGTGTGGGAGACAAAACACACAGATGGTGGTCACGATCAGCCTCTGAAGTACCCCACAAGGTGTCATGTGGAAACCCGACATTAGTCCGGCACAATCCATTTTCCTCTGGTGTTGGAAACACTTTTTTTTTTGCTTGGGCACCAGATTAAACGGCTGGTTTGTGCTTGGTGCCATGTCTCATAAAACAGTTTCGAGCACTGCATGGAACTCAACCCAATGAGTTGGAGGCACTTGGGGAACAGGCAGGGCCCAAGACGAGGAGCTACAACCCTCCCACCCCCATCCCCGCTCACACTGGGAAGAACGGAAGCTGCATGGCCCAGACTGTTTCAATGGTTTTACTCTCTCTCCTTCTATACCTTTATTTTTTTGTTAATCCTCACCTGAGGATATTTTTTTCAATGACTTTTTTTTTTAGATAGAGTGGGAGGGAGAGAGGGTGAGAGAGAAAGAAAAACATCAATTGGCCTCCTCCCGTACGATGCTGACCTGGAGCGGGAATTGAACCTGCAGCCCAGGTACGTGCCCTTGACTGGCAATCGAACCCGAGACCCTTCAGTCAGCAGGCCAGCGTTCTAACCACTGAGCAAAACTGGCCAGGACTATACCTTTTCTTTGATCGAGTGTACATACATTAAATTCAAGTTAATTAAAGGCATACTGAACACCAGTAATACTACCTGCTGTACCTCACTGCGTGTCTGCATCAACAATTTCCTTCATTTCTCTAATGACCACGTGCGATACAGATACAACCATGACTCCACTTACAAGTGAAGAAAACCAACAGCTAGTAGCTTGGGATTCAAGTTCAAGCAAACTGACTCTGGAACCCATGCAATTAACCAATAAAATACGCTGCCTTCCAATAAATGACTGTTGAGTGTTTCTAGAATTAAGAATTAGTGTGTTGCTACCTTCCGGAAGAATCTCCTCGCCCATACAACACACCTGTTCCGGGCGCAGGGGACAGAGTTAAATACAGCCCACCCTGCACTCAAGCAGCTTGCAGTCGGAGCACGTGTGTGCCCTGGGTACGTGGATGCGCTGGAGCCGCAGGGGAAGGCAAGGAAAACACAGAAGGACAAAAAGACAATGCACTAGAAACTGCAGCAGAACCAGGAGCAAGTCTGCTTGGGCAGGACGCAGCAGAACCAGGAGCAAGTCTGCTTGGGCAGGACGCAGACCTGGAGTGGAGTTAGGGAAGGTCCTTGAATAAAGGCACTGTTGGGCCGCCGCCTCAGGGTCTGTGCGGGGCGGGCTCTGGGATCTGAGCGCTGGAGCCGAGTAGAGGCTCCGCATTTCCGGACTGTATGACCTCAGGTAGGTTGTTTTAATGTTTCAATCTCTTCTCTGTAAAACAGACCATCCTCTCTAATAGTGACTACTTGAAGAGTAGTTGGGGTTAAAGGATATGACAAATGGTAGGGGTTTTATTGTCGGGTGGTGATAGGGGGAGGGCACTGAAGGAAGAGGTCACAGACAATGGGCCAGAGAGCAGACAGACTGAAGGTGAAGTCGCCGAGGAGGAGGTGGCCCCGGGGGAGGGGGGGGGGCACCTTAGCAGGGCCTTGAACCCTGTGCTCCCAAGCTTGGGCTTTATTCTGGAGATAGGGAGCTTCTCCAGGTTTTCCTGGAGAAACTGGATTTAACCAATAAAATACGCTTAGTAGCAACAATAGAAGCAGATACTCAATATTTACTATGTGCTAAGGTCAGTCCTAATTTATTTGTATTAACTCACTTAATCCTTACATCGGGCAGAGAGGTCCCTATTAGTACAACCCTCGCTCCGGACATGAGGAGCCCGAGGCCAGGGCATTAGCAGCTTGTGCAAGGCCACGTGGCGCAGGAGGGGAGGAGCCTGGCTTGGGCAGGGCAGCCTGTGAGTGCAGGTCAGAGCCCAGGCGCAACAGGTGCGGCCTGCTCAGCTGCAGGAAACACACTGGTGCAACTAATCTTCCCAATCACGAACCCAGGTGTTCTTAGGCCACACCTAGGAAGCGGCACCGCCCCCCCCAATCTGCAAGAAATCCAGACTGTCCAACACTGACTGGCTGCCTGCCCTTTGCTAGGTACATCGTGTGTCCTTTCCCATTTGGTCGTCTGTGAAGTGTGTCCTTTGCTGCAGAGGGTGCAAAGGTCATTGTCCACGGGCCAGCACACTTTATGTAAAGGGCTGGACAGGCTTCGTGGGCCAGGCCGTCTGTCACGGCTGCTCCAATGCGGCCAGAGGAGATACGTGAATGGGCCTGCCTGTGTGCCAATAAAACTTTATTCACAAACACAGATGGCGGACCAAGGGGCCCTGCTGCGGACCAGTCCTGGGACACGGCACAGAAAGGGACTGGTTCAAGCCAGCTCCCTGCCCGATTACCCTCCGGAGGCTACAGACGGGGCCGGGCGAGCGGCTGCACGAGCAAAGGGAGCCGCAGGGACGGGCAGGTTGGACGGACCACCTGCGGGGCCACGGGGCACACTGGGCAGGTCTTTCACCGCCAGCTCCTCAAGTTCTGCCGTCTTTTCGTGAGGAAACCCTACTCTGCCTTTGCAGAAGCAATCAAACCTGCACGGTTTCGAGTAAAAGGTAAGACTCAGTTTATCAGTTTCAATGTTCTTTCTTATAAAAAGTTCTTAATTCACTTCTGACTCTCCCACGGGACCACACATAAGGTCTGTCTCTGGCCACACATCTCTGCGGAAAGGGCACCTTCTGCTAAGTACCCTGGTGGGCAGGGACGCGGGCAGGGATGCGGAGCAGTGGGCGGGCTGCATCCTCCCTGCCCCCGCGTCCTCAACGCGCCAGCAGTCGGAACTCTTCTGAGCAGAGCCAAGACGCCTCCTCCTCCTGACCTCACATGCCTGATGACACCAGTGAAATCCAGTGCTCCTTTCTGCCTCTTGCTTTTATTAAAAATAAACTCATTCACAGTTTGAATGCAAGTAAAATTAATTTACATATTCACGCTATTACTCTGTAGCTAGTTTCCACCCTCCCCCAACGCTCATTTGGTGACTCATTGGGTAAGCAACTTTATGCAGTGAAAACATATGTACTCTGCTTTCGAAGGAAATGAAAGAACACTAAAATCTTGTTTAGAAAACAGGCATTCAGACGTAGTTACTGCAGCCGAGGCCCAGGGTGCAGTTTCATTAGGGGAGAAGGTTCCTAATCTTGTCGACCTCTCGACCTCTGCTCACAGCTGGGGCTGAGAAATGCTGTCACTCTGGGTGCCGGCACCTTGGATTTAACTGGCAGTCAGGGGCTGTGTTCGAGCAAACACAGGAAAGAAATGACCAAGATGCTCAGTGACTCTGCAGCCTACTTCCACCCTTCCCGTTCCCGTTATGTACTAAAACCAGAAGAGCAGCATTTCAATATTTTGCTCAGTTCAGGAGCTGGACTTCGGCTCACAGCTCTGTGCCTGGGCGGGGTATACACTGCACGCCGCACGGACACGTGCACGCCGCACGGACACGCACACGCGTACTCGGGAAGGTCACTCGGTGCAGGCTCCGCATCTGCTCCTCAGTCAGCTGGGCCTACAGACTGCACATGCCACGGGAGTATGTTCTGATCAGGGGCCTCGATTTGGTGGAAGAAATACCAAGTCCCCTTGCCGTGTCCCTGGGTTTTAAGGGCTGTCCCCGTGAAGTGCACGTGCCCAGAGGAGACAGTTTCTAAAGGCCTCACTCAGCTTCAGAGGCAGCAGTGACTACAGCATGTGCTCTAGAATCTGGGTCTGAGGTTGGTTCTGACGCTTCCTAGCAGCATAGCCGTAGACAAGTCACTCAACCGTTCTGAACATCAGTCCCGCCACCTGTAAAGGAATGATGACAATGGGGGATAGGCAGAAACCGACAGAACAGTGCCGAGCATACTTACCTGATAAATGGGAGGTACTATCACCACCACCACCACCACCAATTGTATTATCAACAACCATTAACAGGATCTTTCTCCCCCATAATCTTTTAAAAATGCTTGAGAAGGAGTGAAACATGATTCATGCCCCCCACTCTTTGACTACTCGATAACGTATCTTTCTCCCCCAAATAAACAAAAATCAAATATGTCAGTCAAGCAGAACGTGAGAGGAAAGCCAGGACTGAGCAGTGCAATCCCCCATGTTCTCTAATCGATTAGTGGTTTGCTGGCACTGGCTCTGGCAGGAAGCAGACGGACCCAGCATGGGGCACAATGCAGCCGCAGATGCGGGGCCAGCCCACCTCAGCTGGACCGTTCTAGCCGCCAAATCCAAGAGCCCACAGTTTTCACGTGGGTTCATCTTGGCACACCAGCTTCAGGAAGTCGGTCACCAAATGAACTGAGATTCCAACCCACCAGGAGTCAGATTCAAACACCAGATAGAGGGAGCAGGAGCTAGACTCTATTCAAGTTACCATCATTATTTTAGGAGTATCACAAAGAGGTCTATACCTGACTCTAGAATATGTAAATTTGCTTGCTACAATCCACATTCCAAGCTTAGTGCTTTTATTGAACTATTAAATGTTTCCACTCACATAGGAAATCTTGCTTCTCAATCATTCAGTAATTACTATGAACACAAAAGATTCTGTATTATTCCCCTCTGCTGTGAAGGGTAGAAATGGTGCAGAAATCACACAATAGACACTTTATCTGGGTGGG